ATGAACCAATCACAACTTTAGAATAAATGGTCCTCAAACACAATATTCTATACAAACAGGAAAGCGTTATTACACACCTCCAGCATTATATTCTCCATCCCCATTTTTCCTAAAATTGTTCTGTAAGTTTGCAGAATTACTTCCTAGATTCATTTGCTTTAATTAGTTAGTTTTGAACTCTTTGTTTCTAGAATTGAAGTTTCACATTTTGGTTCCGGACTCTGTTGTACACACACTAAGGCCATGTTTGTTTGGGCGGACTGGATTAACATTCCCATGACTAATAGTCCTAGGACTACGAATCTGTTGGATTATGTATCCTATCTTAACTAATAGTAAAGTTTAAAATTATTAGTCCGTACTTCAATTGTTTAACCAAATATCGGATTAATAATTTTATTGGACTATTAGTCCAATCCCAAGCTCATGTCCACCCAAACAAACATGACCTAAGTACACACGAGATTGTCCAACATAAGAAATCCATGAATCCCAAAATCGGCATATTCCTTTGACAGATGCATTTCCACCGACTCCTCACTATGTTCCGCCGTTCAAGCACCATGCTTTTAAATTGACTACTCAACAAATATGCAGTTTTTGCATATACAAATGCAATATGAAGCAGGGTTTCAATGGAGTAACATCTGATATGCAATTTGACAAACATCCCATATATGCATCAATTGAATACAACCAAGTTCCAACTCCTATAAAAAAAACATCAGTTTATTTTACATCCACCATCAAACCAAGCAACTCCTCACTATGTTCCTCCGTTCAGCCACCATGCTTTTAAATTGACTACTCAACAAATATGCAGTTTTTGCATATACAAATGCAATATGAAGCAGGGTTTCAATGGAGTAACATCTGATATGCAATTTGACATACATCCCATATATGCATCAATCGAATACAACCAAGTTCCAACTCCTATAAAAAAAAACACCCTATACTCTTCTTCCCCAGTTTAATCAACCATTAAATATTACTTTTACTTAAACTATAACCCTCATATTCCTACTCTTTCAATGTTGTATAACAAGTCATCAACAGTATAGTACCCACTTCCAATCTTTTGCTTTCGTCCATCTAGCAGTTCTCAACCTCACTAAATCAAAAACAGTTGACCAAGTGGTTGGGACGCTCTTTAATTGATAGTTTCCATCCCATAGATTGAAACTGATTTGAACTATTCAAGTTATAGGATCTTATATGTAAATCACCAATAAAAAAATCATTTTATTTCGATAGTTCATAACTATATAATTACATCATTTTTGTTATAAAAAAATAAATGATCTTTTTTCAAAATCATATTATGAGTTATCCCAATTGACTGGGCTTATGAGTCCTATATGGAAAAGGCGTTAGTTCTAACCTCACGGGGGTGTACCAATGATTAAAAATTTCATTTAGCACTCATATTTGAGGCCACCCAACTTAGGTTTTTGGCCTAATGATTGTGTAGCATTACTTTATAGTGTGAGATTGTGAGTTCAATTCCTATTAAGAAGAGTTGGGGGATTCTATTTACACTCAAAAAATCATTAAGTACTCCAAATTTTTAAGTACACCTTGTTGAATTATTGAAAAAAAATTATTTTGCTCTCATTACACCCTATTATTTTTTCCAAATTACCCTCAAGGTAAACCCAAATAATAAATAATAAACAAACCAAAAAAACTAAATTATTTCAAAAAAAATTCAATACAGAAAATAATTCTCAAATATAGAAAAAGAACCAAACTTATAAGCACATAAGCATTATAAATACAGAAAAAATCAAACTTTTACATAAACATTATAAAAACTTTTAATAACAAAAAAAAAAAAAACTTTTACATTATAAATTATCCACAAAAATGTTTGTGAAAAAGTAAAAACCAAACTTATAAGCAATTAAGCATCAAGCATTAACAAGAAAGAGTAGTTCTCAAATAATGTATTATTTAAATAATAAAATAAGAACAACACCAATAATATGTTATTATTAATCTAACTACTGGGTCCTTTAATTTTTGTCAAAAAAACGATATAGAAAATAATTGATGATACTCTACAAAAATTGTGAAACCCCTTTATATGAATACTTACTTCTTTTTTGATGGGTTGCTTCAAAAAACTATTTTGATTATTACTCTGATCTATTATTTGATTTTGTTGAAACTTTCTTCTGGGGTTTAGGATTTCAAAATAATAAAAAAACAATAATGATGATGATGGTGAGTTTTGATAAGGTGGATTGGAGTTTTAGTGGAAGGAAGAAGAAAAAGAAGAAGAAATAACTTTGATCTCTTAGGAAAAAAGATACAGAGATTTGAATAGGAATAATTGATTAGAGTGTACTATGAGATTTTTTTATTTTTTTATTTTAAGGTTTAATATAGATTGTTCTTATTTAATAAATTCATATTAGAATATAATAGAAATTAAAATTTATAAATTTAAATTAGGCGTACTGAGACATATTTTGAGTTCAAATAGAATTCCTCCATAAGAGTTTGATATCGTTTGTGACGTTTACTTCTTGCCCCATTATAGTTGTTTATTTCTTCTCAAATTTGGGCTTAGCATATTATTGGGCGGGCTATGGTTGTTTGGTTTAGTGCATTGTTAGACTTTAATTATCTAGTTTAATGTAAGATTTTTTTAAATTTATAATTAATCTCTTACCGATTGACAGAAAGAAAAAAATAAAATAAAGGTAAATTATCAATAAGTCATACTTTTGAGACTTTTATTACCCATTAAATCCTATTGATAAATTTATCAAGTGATAAATATATCAGCCTCTTTTATTTTTATAAATAAATTTATAGTGATACATTTATCAGTCAGAACATGTAGATAATTAAGTTTAATTAATAAAACTGATGATAAGTGCCCCAAAAAATAAAATAAATACTTGAAGACTTGGTATGATAATTACCCTATATTAGGACAGGGAGATTACGAGGTGATTTGGCAACCAACTAAACAAGTTACTGATTTGTTACAAGTTATCACACTCTGTCTATTTTTTTTTTACAATTCCATCTTTTTGTAAAAAAAAATGTTTGTTGTTTTCATTATATTTGTTTGTTTTTTCGTTGTTCTGTTTTGAAAATTCTTTCTACTAATTAAATGGAAAATGTTTAGGTGTGCAATCCCAGCATAAGTTTTTACAATTGTGAAAACATTTGTAAGTTACTTCATAATACTGTGTAATTTAAACACAAATCCACATAAGTTAATCCACAAAAATTTGAGAAATTACGTTTTAGGTAAATTCTTATAAACATATGTAAGTCCTCTCACAAAAACGCATAACTTAAATATAAATTTCCATAAATTAACTCATAAAAAAATTGAGAAATCACAAAAATACTTAAGTCACCTCACAAAATCGCATAAATTAATACAAATTTACATAAATTAACCCATAAAATGTATCGTAAATTCTCACAAAAATATGTAATTTAAGTCACAAAAATACATAAGTGAATGACATACCGTATGCCTTGCACACTTAATTTTTTCTAATTGAATATATCATATTTGAATTGTCATTTTCATTTAATGGACTTCATTCTTACTACTAAAAACAGGAGCTTTTGCGACAGTCATAAACGTCGCAAAAGGTGCACATGTTGTCACAAAAGACTTTTTGCGACAAAATAGCAACTGGAAATGGAGAGTGGCAGACGGGGGTGTGACAAGAGATATTTGCGACAGTTACAAACCGTCGCTTTCTTGTAGCGACGGTTAATCAATAGTTTTTACGATGGTTTAACCTGACACAAAAAAGTGAGAAAAACATCTCTTTTAACAACGGTTTAGGATGCCGTCACCAAAAACTCTTTTAGAGACAGTAGTTAACGTCGCAAAAAATATTATTAGCAACAATCTTAAACGTCGCAAAAAAAAAAGAATTAAATCAATAATGTATTTGCGACGGTTTAAACCGTTACTAAAGATGCCACTAATATGTATATGTGACAGGTTAACCTGTCGCTAATAAAATGCAAGGAAATGATGATTCCATTAGCGACGGTTTACCACTGTCGCAAATTTTTATTTCATAAAATAAATATATATTTTATTAATTCATTCCCTGTACAAATTATTAATACACATCCACATTCATATTCACAAAATCATATATACAAATAATTATATATATGTATCATGTAATGATACAGTGTCAACCAAATATTCTTTACAAAAATATATAAAACATCCTCCGACAATATTAATATTTTTTGATAACTCAAAAACTCAAATTTGTATCTAAAATAAGACCAAAATATCGACAATACAAATAAAAAAACATATATATTAACAGCTTATTTTAGTATCAACAATAAGCTCTAATATCGATATGCGAAAATATTATCGCGTACTCAAAAGGATAGCATTTGCAACCAAAAAAACAAAAAAAAAAAATAATAATATTTATAATATAATTACAAGTCATTTGTGCCTAGCTAGTCGTATGAGTTAAGTTTTGTTGACATCCAACGCCGTTTGAGCAGTAGTATTTTACAATTGGTAGCTTTGGAAAGACCAATGCATAGAGAAGAATGCAGAGGAGTTCAAAAAATGCGGAGATAGCAAAAAATAAAACTGTAATGAATCGTAAGTAATAAAAATTAGTAAACTAGTATTACATGCTATCATAGTACTCTATCTCAGCATTCTTTAAAATAGTGCAATTGAAATGAAAGAAAAGATATTGGTGTTGTATGGAATTAAAGAAAGCATATCCATGAGAGAAATCGATTCTATTATCATGAAGTAAAAATTTTAATTCATTTTGCAACTCTACAATCCAAATCAGTTTGATCATTATCTTACCTTAACATCTATGTTTTTCCATTGTGAAGTTCACTACAGATATTCAATTGGATTATGTTAGCTACCAATATTCGGGACAAAGATTTCATTAATTTGAACAAAATGGGGCACAAGGAAAATACTTGGTTTGGAAACAGAAGTCAAATAGAGTACAAAATGCATCAAAATCAACTACCTAAAAAGATTGACAATGATAACCTATTATTTGTAGTTTAGGTGGAAAACAATAACCATAAATATTTACATATAAAAAATAAAGAAAAACCTACCTAAACTTAATCTCTGTTACGTTCATACTTTAAGTCATTGGCTTAAATGTTGACATAAGCTTGATGAGTTTCTCTTTCACAAAACAGTAACTAGAAAATTGTAACCCCAATATGTAGCAATACTTATTGAATCATATTTCCTACAAAATTTATGAAAAACAGCTAAAAGGATTTGAACGTACTAGCTCCCTTGCGCAGGCCATCCTTGGAATTCTCAAATGCTGCTTTTGTAATCAATCTCAAGCCAGAGGTTAGATCCCCCAATGCAGCCAAACCAGCAACAATAGACATGAAGAATAAAAAAACAAGAAAGCTTATATCAAAACTTCAAAACTAGATCAGATAATAAGCTAACCACAAATACTAACTTGCATTAACTCGGGTAGCATGAATGATAGATCGCTAACCATTCCACCCTGAACATGAGCATCTGCAACTCCAAAAGCACAGCTAATCATACATATTCCAATATAGGTCCCAATTCCTCCCTTTCCAGATGTAGCTAAATCCAGCTGTGGCAATACAATGAAAAATGGAATCAAAGTGGACTTGTATGCTTAATAATTTGAATTTGAGTTACTAAAACATGTTATTACAAAACCATATGGTTAAGGAGTAAGTTGAAGATGTAATACATATAATTATGGTACTTACAACAAGAACAGCAAGAGCAATTATGAAAAAAATGATATATCCAAATAGGTTTCTCCTGTTGCTACTTGCAAACTGAGGACCACTCCCACTTGTTTTTTAACTGCCCTTCTCTGAGAGAGTGTGGATGAATATTAAAACTAAGATCAATGTGGCTTGGCTTGTGTTAAATTGGACTGGGCTGGTGTCTTATATTGCTAAATCTGTTAAGGGTCATTCTCTTGGCTCTATTATTTCCAGGCTTGCTCTAAATTGCACTATTTTCCTCGTTTGGGTTGAGAGAAATAATATAGTTTTTACCAAAGAGAAAATTCCAGAAGTTCTTGTTTTGAACATTTTTAAAATGGTTAGATTTAGAGTGCTGTCTCTGAAGAATTTAAAAAGACATTCAAATGATTCATGATTTTTAGCTACTTGGAGACTGCCCTCATCTATCCTTAGGGGTGATACTCCTTAATGTAGGCAAGTGTGGCCTGGAAGTGCATGGGAGATCAAAGAGATGCCTGGAAAATTCAAGAAATAGAAAGCTTTTTATTTTGGTTTTAAAGAAAATATACTAGAGGCTTGAACAAGGTTACATAATTTCTAATATGAATCAATAATTCAAACTTTCTGTAACTCAACTTGACAAGAGCTTATCTTAATCATGTGGGATCAACTACGTGGATTTATTTTCTCAAATCATTCAAGCTTTTTACCTCCTTTTGATTAATAAGGAGACTGATCAAAAAAAAAAAAAAAAAAAAAAAAAAAAGACAAAAAAAAAAAAGGGGGGGAAAAAAAATTTAGGAAAACTGATCCAAAAAAAAAAAGGGGGAAAAGAGATACCGTAATAGTTAAAATACCATTGCAGAACTCTGTACCAAGAAGAAGTCAAGCAGTTACAACTCCATGTGTCAACTAATAGAATATCTTTCATTATAATTTCAACCCATGAAAATGTTGCTGTAAACATGCTTCCTAAACAAGGTAGCAACAAAATGGTGAGCAACAAGCACATGTACAAGAACAATGGCTATGTACTCCCCAATTTCCACAATGGGCAACCTATACTTGACATATAATCTATAGACAGGTTCAATGGTATGACAAAGGTATAGAATACCAGATGCAACAATAATACAAGGGTTCTCATCAGTAAGTATTAAACCACAAAGAAGATGAATACCATCAAGAAAAAGATCAAAATGGCAAATATTTGAATCCTGAGCCACCTGTTTGATGATATCTGGTTTAAATGCCTTAACAAAGCACTATGAGCACTTTCAACATTTGTCAATGACTCTTCCATGTTATCATCAATCCTGATCAAACAAATAAGCAGCTTCAATACAAGAAAACATGAATTTAAAGAAAAACAAGCAAGCAAGATAGTTATTCACTGTAAATAACAAAACTATAAGCTCCAATCAGGAGCCACATGCATTTAAGTTTCTTGCATAAAAATCTACTTTTTTTCACACTTCAAAAGTTTAGACAGATCAAAGTTCACAAGTTAAAATAATCATCAGATATTCATGTAAAAAGAGCAAACTTGATAGCCAAATGCATGAAAATCCCACCAAGTTCTGAAATTGTGGATTCCACATTTTGAAGGGCTACTGCTCGATTTTGAAGGGCTACGACTCGACTTTTGGCAAAATTTTTTGAGGAAGGTTAAGGTGCATATAGTCCTATCAAAATAAACCATTACAAAACACAAAACAGACCCTTATAGAGGCTGACTTTGCTACCTCGTGTGCAGCTTGCACTACCTGCCTAGGTACTTCAGTTATACATACATAATCTATAGATGACAGATGTCCATTCAGATGTACTTCAGATTCCACTCTATCTACTGCATTCCCTTCCTTGAGCCTCCTTACTAACACCTGACAATCTGTTAGGATAGTAACTGACATCACTTTGCTTTGTATGCACCATCTTAACACTTCAAAACATGCTCTAGCTTCTGCTACAATTGCTGATCCATGATATCCAGGTTGCCCCTGCTTTGGCTGAGTGCTTTAACCATGCTCCATCGATCAGAAACCTGGCAAAAATTAGATCTGGAGGCCAATGCACATTGTTAGTAACAACATAATAAGTATCTACTATGCCTATTGCATCACATTCCTACAACAACATTACACCCAAAATTCAAATTAAAACTTCAACATTTCAAAATTATTTTAATTAATTGAGCTTTTCCACCATAACAACTTGTGGAAACTTCATCCATAAGGTTGTCCCTGGAACAAAGCAACATGACGATCATTCAATCTTAACCACAAAAAAACTTCAATCACTTCAGCACCATCAATCCCCCCCACTTACTCAGCTGTTTTTCCCCCATTGCTAAGCAAACCACTAGCTGCTTCGCCACCATCAACACCTCATCCTCTCTCTCTTTCGCTCGCTCTCTCAAAGCACCATATTAATGTTCTCTTGCCACCTGAAAACACACCCTCTTACCTAAACTTCATTCTCACCATCTATCTCACCCTACTTCATAAAAACCCAATTCTCTCACACCACAAACCCACATCACTCTTCTTCATTTTCACTTGATCAAGCCACTCTCAATGCTTCTGTTTTCTAGTAATTAATTAACCATAAAAAAGAAAAGTAATTTGTCCTGCATGTCACATGATCTATGAGTTAGTTGTTGCTATTTGAACTAAAGATGGACCATTGACTAATGACTCTCACTGGCAATGTCCTACTTGAAAAATATGAAGTTTTATCTAAAGGTAATTGTACTCACTATTACATCATTACTAGTTTTCAACTGGAGTACATTGCATTGACACTTTAAGTTCCAACAAAATCAGAAGTTCAATGCTTGTCTTTCTAAACCTAGAAAGAGCTCCTTTTCCCGGAACATTTTGATGTAATTTGTTTAGATCAAAATTCTAATCACAAAATTCAATCTGTTTAGATCATAACATTATCACATACCAGAACATTTTGATGTAATTTTCATCTTTCCCACCTCCTAAAGTACAATTTGCACCGAGATGTAACTTTGTTGCAAGTTTCAATTTTTTTATTTTAAAACACACACAAAAAATAAACAAATAAATAAAAAATAAAGACAAATTCCATAGTTTTTCTCAGCAATTAAAAATTAGTTGACTTTAAAATTTTAGCAATTGCACGTTCCAAGATATTAACAGTCAAATTGAAGGCAAAAACATTAACTTCACATCCATCACACCTTCAAATCAAAAACCCTTAAACAATCGCTAGTTTGAAGAGCCAAGAAACCCCAAATCATCACTATATTTAGAGACAAACCCATCTGAAATCAAGATTATAACTAAAACCCAATTGATGAAATCAAGATTATAACTAAAACCCAATCAAAATTTAACAAAAACAAACAGTATAAACAAGACTGATCAGAGTTCAATTGGACAAATAGATCAAAAACCGAGAAACCTACCTCAAAAACAAGTTATAATCAGACGCAAATCAGCCATGGACAGGGCTCCTCGAACAGAGATGTACCTGTGGGGAGAACATGGGTGAGGCAGCGATGGCAATGAGGCCATGGATGGGCAAGAGAAAGAGACGGAGGTGGTGCTGGCGCTAATCGATGTCCTAACACCGATTTTATGCCATCTTGTGCAGAGGTGGCGCTGGGTGGAGGTGGAACTTCCGGCTGCGGTCAGTCACGCTCGCTCTCTCTTTCTCTTCTATGTGGCTTTTGATGTATTAACAGCGAGAGCGAGAGGAAAGACAAAGTGACCACTGGGCACAAGAGAGAGTGAGAGATTAGGGCAGAAGACTGAAGGTTTTTTTTTTTTTTTTTTTTTTTCATCCTATAATAGACTACAGAAAGTTTGGGAAAAGAAGGAAAGAGGGAGGGACGGGGGTTGGGCGCGAATTTAGGGATGAGGATTTGTGACGATGTTAAGAACCGTCGCAAATGAATGAGCAAAAATAAAATATTTTGCGACGGATTAAAAAAGCGCGTCGCAAAAAAGAAAAAAGCAAGACAAAAAAAATTTGCGACAGGTAATGTACTGTCGCATATAATATTACTTTTAGCCATGATTTTAGATTTTCCGTCGAAAAAATTAATTTCACCATGGTTTTATTTGCTGTCGTAAAAAATAATTTTTAAACCGTCGCAAAAGATTCCGTATCATATACCCCTTTTCATTATAAATATTTATATAAAAAAAATGGTTCGGCAGGTTTAAGATAAAATTTGTTTTAGAGCACGGGTACAATAGCAATCACTATTTTGCTCATATATTCAAAAATACCATTGTCAAATTATTTAGTTGTATATCATTTTTATTCGGGATGAGCAACGGATATATTGATTCATCAAAATTGACTGAATCGAATCGAATCGATCCGCCGCATTTTGGATGGATACGTGATGACGAGCGGACGGTTGCGGATTGATTTTCTCTAATCCGCCAATTTGGCGGACGGATGGCGGATTTGAGATTCCTTTGACCGCAGCTGAACCACCAAACCGCGAGCACCCCTAATAATTTATAAGACTTTGTGTTTTCAGTTTGTTTAAATATTATGTTTGTATTTTCAATTAAAAAAGAGTTTAAATATTATGTTGAAAAAAAGTTTTCAACTTAAATATCTTTTTGAATTGAAAAAAATAAACGTATTATTTATCTATATTTTTTAGTTTTTAAATCTATCTCTAAAAATAATAAATAGAAAATATGATATATACTGGTTGGTTTTTATTTTCAAAAACAGATATAGATGTAACAATACAAAGACATACAATCTATACTACTGCTCTGTTCATGGCTTTGGTGATTTGAATTGTTTTTATATTTTAAGAACCACAGATTGTATTTATGTGGATGAGGCATACTGTGATTGTAGTATGTGGATGAGGTATGCAATGATTGTGATATTATAAAGTTTCAAGCTTTCTTACTTTGGATGAGGCATGCACTGATTGTAATATTTTTTAAATCATTGACTGTAATACTTTTTTCTTCTTTTTTTGAGAAAATACACAAGTTGAATTATGTTAAAAATTTATAAAATTTTAAACCGCCAAACCGATTCGCATTCATCCGCCAAACCGCCAAACCGCTCAACCCACATCCACCGGATTGGCGAACGGATGCCGATTGATTTTCTCCAATCCGCCAATCTGACAGACGGATGACGAATTGGAGGTTCCGTGACCACAACCGACCAACGCCCATCCCTAATTTTCATTGTTTTGTCCCATTCAGTTCAAATGCGATTCAGCTTCAGCTTCAGCTATGTCCCAACTTTTGATGTTATTAGAAATGGAGACAGGGTGTGAGTTCCACACAGGGCAGAGGCACCCATCAGGCTCGGCCCCAAATTTTGAGGGAAAAGAAAACACAACTCACATTATATATACATTTCAAATTGAGAATTTTTTTTTATTAATTTGTAGAGTAAATTACATTGACATTCCTAACATTTTTGTTTAATACAAATTCTTTTTTCACGTTTGAAAAATTACACTTACTTCTCTCTCAAATTAAAATAACATATTTGTCTCTTAATCTTTATACATATAAAATAATAAAATTATATTGATATTTTGATCATACCATTTCAAGATAAAAAATAATCATTTTTTTGATTCAACTCACACAAAAAAATGAAATTTTTTATTTTATTTTATTTTTCTTATATTTTTACTGAAATATTTTTTTCATATTGTAAACAATTTTTTTATTTTTTAAATACACTAATCTTGATATACTTAAGAAGTATGATATTTTGTGATTTTTTTTTTAAATTCACCAAATACAAAAAAATAAATAAATAAATAAATACAAAACATCAATATTACTGTAACAAATGTAAATGATGGTACTTAGTAATACTGTAATAAATGTGGGTGTATAAATGAGAAAGAAACATAATAATGGAAATAAAAATGAAAAATTATATTCATATATAAAAATTTATACAAAAAATATCATAAAAATGTTATGATAATGATGTTATAAATATAAATCATGTTTATGGGTGTTTTGTGTTAAAGTGAAAGGTCGCCATTAAATTATATCATTGTGTTTGAAAATTTTATATAAATTTAATATTTGTATATCATCATTCAATAAGAATATGTTTAGGTAGACTTTAATGATAAAAAGTTATAGAATGTAATAATGATGATAAGAAGATATGGTAGGGAAAAGGGTAAAATAACCATTTAGAAAATTTTAAAACATAACATTAATAATTTATGGGGTAATTTATAATGAGATTACAAATCTTAAAAAATATATATAATTTTTCAAACGTAAAGAGAAATTGTATTAAATAGAAACATCAAGAGTGTCATTGTAATTCAACCTAATCTGTATTGACTAATGGCCCCATCAAATTTTGTTTCCCTTCAAAAGTAAAAGAAAAGAAAAGTAAAAATACGGTGGCCGCCAGTGGTGACTACAAATGCATGTGCACTACCAGCTCTATGCTCTATACGAATCATCATCAATAGCTATAGCCACCATTTAATCTGAATTCATAAATATAGCGAGCGAGCGAGCGAGCGTGCGTGACTTCACACACGAAAGCATTGTTTTGAAAACCGGACCGGTGAGCGAACCGGAAAAGGGACCGGATGGATGGGTCACTGGTTCAACCGTCGGGTCGAAGCGGTCGAACCGTGACGTCATAATTAATATTATATAATTAAAATTATAATTATAAATTATAAATAAATAAAAATATATATAATTACTGAAATAATAAAAAAAAGTGTTGCATAATATTTACTAATAATATTTAATAAAGTCATAATTGTTAAAAAAAAGTCACTAGTTTTAAAGAAATTAAAAAAATTTAACATTCCCTCCAAACAAATTGATTGAATGCTAGATTTAATTTTGGAGGGAAATAAAATTTTCAACTTTCCCTCCAATCAAATATGATTCAAACAATTAAGAAGTGTGATATTTTGTGATTTTTTTTTAAATTCACCAAATACAAAAAAAATAAATAAATAAATAAATACAAAACATCAATTTTACTGTAACAAATGTAAATGATGGTACTTAGTAATACTGTAATAAATGTGGGTGTATAAGCGAGAAAGAAACATAATAATGGAAATAAAAATGAAAAATTATATTCATATATAAAAATTTATACAAAAAATATCATAAAAATGTTATAATAATGATGTTATAAATATAAATCATGTTTATGGGTGTTTTGTGTTAAAGTGGAAGGCCGCCATTAAATTATATCATTGTGTTTGAAAATTTTATATAAATTTAATATTTGTATATCATCATTCAATAAAAATATGTTTAGGTAGACTTTAATGATAAAAAGTTATAGAATGTAATAATGATGATAAGAAGATATGGTAGGGAAAAGGGTAAAATAGCCATTTAGAAAATTTTAAAACATAACATTAATAATTTATAGGGTAATTTATAATGAGATTACAAATCTTAAAAAAAAAAATATAATTTTTCAAACGTAAAGAGAAATTGTATTAAATAGAAACATCAAGAGTGTCATTGTAATTTAACCTAATCTGTATTGACTAATGGCCCATCAAATTTTGTTTCCCTTCAAAAGTAAAAGAAAAGAAAAGTAAAAATACGGTGGCCGCCAGTGGTGACTACAAATGCATGTGCACTACCAGCTCTATGCTCTATACGAATCATCATCAATAGCTATAGCCACCATTTAATCTGAATTCATAAATATAGCGAGCGAGCGAGCGAGCGTGCGTGACTTCACACACGAAGTTACAAATTTAATTTGTGAAGGCTAAAATGTAGTAAAATATATAATATATATTATCAGGAAGGAAATTTGAGCATGGATAAGCACCCTTTGATTTGAATTCATAAATGAGTGTTGTTATTAGCACTTTATAAATTATTTTGAACTTTTAATTTTTAACTTTTTTATATTATTACAATAATAACTTCAAATAAAATTATTACAAAGGACATCATTAATTTTAGGATACCCTATTTTACAATTAAATCTACACACTCACTACATCATGAATTAAGATTTATGAGAGAACCCACTTCCATCACCACCCATCTATCTTTCCCAAATCCCACCTTCAAAACCTACCCACCCTCAAAACCTTGAAAACCCTTTGGCGGCAATATTCCGACAATAACGGTGACAACCATTTGATTATTTGCACTTTTCTGGCAATGACAATAAGGGGTTGTTTGGGATGACCTAAATAAGTGCACTTTTTGTCTTTTTACGAAAAGATGTGCAGAAAAGTAGAGAGGCTATGTAATGAAAAAAAGATAAAAAGATAAAAAGATAGATTATTTGAGATATGCCAAACTTGACCTAAGTGGAAGTTTTTCTGGCAATAACGCTCTATAAGACGAGAGGAGTATAACAATAAAAGTTTAGAAGAGGTTCATAACTTTTATATTGTTCTTAACTCATAGGCGATTGGCTTTGTAAGAGTAAGTTTTTTGAAAAAAATGGCAAAAGTAATAAAATATGTTTGTCATTTTTTTTTCAGAATTGAACTCCTGAACATATGACCAAAATTCGGGAACACAGGCTCAAACATTGTTTATTTGTTCGGAAATAAGTAATCAAACATTATTCATATGTTCGGACATGTTTTACTTATTACATTTTATATTTTAATTTGTATTGTTATTTATTTCAGGATGATAGTGAGTCAACAGTTAAAATTCTTAACATTTGTAGAAATTTTATTTTTTTTAAGTTTGGGAATACATGCCCAAACATTATTTATTTGTTCGGGAACACATTGCGGAACATAGCTTATTTTGTTAGGGAATACAGACCCGAACATGAAGGAAGCTCGTCATTTTTTGGTACACAACAACTCTATTTTGTTTATGGC